TCTTACAAGGACAAGTTGAAAGAATGTACCCTGTGAAAGACACTGCACATGGCATTCTTTGCATGACTCAGCACACAGCATCTTGTGAGAGTCTCAGCACCCAGCACCCAATGCAGGACTCAGCACACTTCACCTTGTGAAGGACTCAGCATATAGCACCATGGCATGTGCAGGACTCAGCACAGATCACCCTATGGAGGACTCAGCACAAAGCTCTGTTCCACAAGCTATAATTAGAATTAAGGTGGTTTCACATTCTTCGAGGATCATTTCATATCTATTGGTTTAGTGGGGTGTTTTTATTTTGGGGGAGGTTTTATGCCGCTTGAGCTCAAAACACGGGGATACTATTCTAATAACATTTGCTCAAGGCTAGTGCTCTACCATTTCAAGCCATATTTCAAAGATTCTAGCAGACTTCCTGCCAGGATTTAAAGCCTCCAAGCAGCCAAGATGTCTGGGGTAAGCCAGGGTAAGCCAAAATGATGGGGGTAACCCATGGAGCTGGGTTACAGCAGTTTACATCTGGCTAAGTCAGGTTAGGTGACAGCTGTCAGCACCAGACTCATAGCTTTCTCTGTGATGAGGTATTTGATGTCCTATCCTTCTATAGTTGCAGTGAGTATATTCTACCTTTTTTTTTTTTATCTTTTGGCAGTCCTGGGACTTGAGTAAGGGCTTTGACACTGTCCCTAAGTGTTTGTGCTCAAGGCTAGCACTCAGTTGATTGAAAGACAGCAGAACTTCTAGATTTACTTTTTATGTGACACTGAGGGTTCGAACCCAGGGTTTCGTGCTTACTAGTCAAGCACTTAACCAACAAGCCCCAGGAGTGAAAGAGTTATAAATAGATAGAGGTTGCTGTGTATAATTTTCTATACACAAAAGATGTCTGTACATTATTAATTTGTAGATAATATTACTACCAATTTTTAGGTATTAAGTTATGTCTCCATTTAATCATTTGTCTCAGTTAACAATTAATAAAGCATTAATTAAAATTATAAGTACATACATCTGTACATTAATTACATATTTTATAGAATGCGACAGATGTCTATATAATTAAATTATGCATCATGTGTTACTACCAATTATTAGGTATTTATGTTTCCAAGCAATTTTCTTTCTATTAATGCTTAACAAAATATTAAACTTAATCCATGTCCTATAATTAGTGTGTCTGATTTTATCCTAGAATGATTCACTACTAATTCAATCTGTTTTTCATTTATTGTAGTGACAATTCTTCCACAAATGACATTTTTTACATTTATGGCATCCTATTACTAGCATATATATTTGCATCTGAATTATACATCCTGTCACTGAGCACTTTAAAAGAAAAGAAAACATGTGTCACGCTCGGCTTCTTCCTCCTCGATTACATTTTTGGCAGTACTGGGATCTAAATTCAGGGCCTAGAAGGCTCAATTCATGAATGGGTGACTGTCAGCACAGAAGCCTCTAGCCAATTCATCGGCCAGGCAGTTCCCAGGCCCTGAGATCGAGCCCCATATGTTGACCACATATTGCACTTAGTGTAGTTATTCGTTTTATTTTTTTTATTAATTTATTTACTATTTATTTTATTGGCTGTTATTACACATGAAATATTTACTCCATATATTACATAAGATATAGATTTGCCTATGTATGAAACTTCATACCTTACACCCAGGACTTTCAAAGAATCAGAAAACATGTGTCACCATGGGATTCTTACTCCACGATTCAATTTTTGTGAGTGCTGGCATTAGAACTCAAAGCCTATAAGTCCCAATTCATGAATGGGTGAGTGTCAGCACGCCAGCCTGGGGCATATTGAGCTAACAAGCATTTCTAGCACCTGAGATTGAGCCCCAGGGGTTGACAAAATAAGAACAGATTGACATGCAGATGGTAGTACACAAGTAAATATAGATCTTTATAGAGTGCCAGTGATGTCTATACATTATTCCTGTATATAGACTGCATTCCTACCAATTCTTGGGTATTTATTATGCCTCCATGTAATTAGTATTCTTGTTTTCATCCTTAATGAATTATTAATAAAGCAACAACTGTCCCAAAACTATTGCATCCATGTAATTAATACTATTCTTTGAATGTGTCAAAAATATTCATTAAAATCCATTGGTCACCTAAAATCACTCCATGTAATTGTATAGTAGTATTCAGAAACAACTAATTCAACTTTGCCATTCATAATCTTCCATCGGTAATCCTATGAATAGGAACGAGACTCTTAGTATCTCCCTCCATTGGTAGGGGTCAGGACTGTGCTTCAAACACATGGCCTATGTTGCTGTGTTGGCCTAAGGCTTCCCTGGTGGCCCACCAGCCTTCAGCAATGCCAGGTTACCAACATTTTGCAGCCGTGTCATTCAGTCCCAGAATGGTCACTTTGCAAAGAAAACAAATGTAAATCTGGTAAGTTGCCAGTTTTTATTTTTCTGTGTCGCATTATTTATTATTGTTTTCCTGTCAGCATTTGAGGCCCAGGAACCCAGGTTTGGCTTTGGGTCCAGTGGTTGCACCCCAGCCTAGAGTGATCAATGCTGAGGCAAAATTGCCACTACCTGAGATCAAGCCCTGTGCTTGAGAAAATAAAAATACATGCATACATACATATTTAAAATATTTTAATATTTAAAATATTATGAGGCTCCTTAGCCTGGAATTCAGGCCATTGTTTTTGCCAGGCCTGGGATTTGAACTCAGGATGTGGGTAAATCTGTAGCACTGTGGGGGATGGAAAGATCACCGGGCTGGAAGACAAGAAAGTCAGGCCTGTTCCCAGGGCCTGAATTCAAATCCTAGCACTTGAAAAAATAATATTCGTATATATTTGAAATACATGATTCATACTTACATACACATGTTTATTGCATATTGCAGTTAGTGTATTCATTTTATTTTGTGTTTTATTTCTTATGTATTTGAGAGTGAGCATGATTACACATATAACATTTTGCATCCTATTACATAAGACATAGCTTTGCCTATGTATTCTACATCATTCCTGAGACCCAGGACTTTCATCGATACAGAAAACAAGTGGAACAATTGGCTTTTCGAACAGGATTAAGTTTTTGGCAATTCTCTGACTTGAACTCAGGGCCTAGCAGGTCCACTTCATGAATGGTTAAATGTTAGCACACCAGTCTGATGCAAGTGAAGTTGGCAGGCCAATTTGAGAACCTGAGATCAAGCCCTAGGAATGGCCAATATATAAACAGGTAGATGTTTAGATTGCAGTGTGTGTGTGTGTTTGTTTGTGTGTGTGCGTGCATGTGTGTGTGTATTTACATATGTATATGCATCTATAAATATATACAGAGAGAGACAGATAGACATTTATGTAGAATCTAATGTATAACCCAATATAAAGAGTGTTGTCTGTACCTTATTTTTATATATTCTATTACTACCAATTATTTGGTATAAAATTATGCTTCCAATTATCATGGTAGAAGAATTAACAAAGTATTAATTAATCAATGACCTATATTTATTGCATACAATCTTATACTGGAATGACTAGCTAGTTAGTAATTCAATTAATAAATTTCAAATATTCTATTAATGTTCCTATAGATAGGAATGAGTTTCCTAGGATCTTCAGCTGTGTGTAGGTGGCAGTCCTAGGATCGATCTCAGGGCCTAGGTGTCTGGTTTGGCTCAGGCTTCACTGACAGCCCCTCAGCCATCATCCATGCAAGGTCACATACAATTTTCAAGCCAAGTCATTGAGACTCAGGAGGGTCACAGTGCTAAGGAAACAAAAGAAAAAACTGTTGTGTAACATTTCCTGGTTTTTCCTCCTCCATTTTTGTTGGTTTAATGTATTTTTGCCAGTGCTGGGAGTTGAACTCTGGTCCTAGGATCCCTGGATCATCTGTGGGTGTAAAAGTTGCACCACAGCCTAGGGTAATCATGGTTTAAGACACAATAAAATGTTTCCTTGAGCAAAAGGAGCTCAGGGAAAATGTCTAGGCTCACAATTCAAGCCCAGGACCTGCCACAAAAAAAAGAGCCAGTAACTCCATGTGTCTGTGTATGTATGCATGCATTTGTGTCAGTGAAGATCCAGAGTTGCTATGAAGAACGGCACCCAGCTAGGAAATTTGCTTTGAATAGAATGATTTCATAGCACAGAGTGCTTTCAAGACAATCCATGTTTCGGGGCTCCCTCAGTGTTCCCAGTGTAGCCTGAGGGGTCTCCATACCCCAGGCTGCCGGAGGAAGTCGGCTTCATTGTTGGAACAGGCAGACAAAAAGTTTCACTTCTGTAAAGCTGCATAACAAACAATTCATCCGGGCAAATTAATGAGGATGAATGTGCGCAGGTTCTGAAGGTCAGGAGAAAAAGGCCTGTTTGTACCCCAAGCTCTCTCTCTCCCCAGTGGTCTGTTTTGATAGGAAACCTTCATTTATGCCACCTTCTGTGGCAGGCCAAGTTCCCTGCACTCATCCTGTCTTTGTAAGACTATATTTCCGTGTTGAAACAAACTGCTACAATTAATTCAAGAGTCCTTCTGGCAGACAATTAGGGAGCTGAACATAATGGAATGATATATTATTGGCAAAGGTGCCTCCATGTGGGGTGTGTGTGTGTGTGTGTGTGTGTGTGTGTGTGTGTGTGTGTGTGTGTGTGTGTGCATACACCATTCCTGGTGTTTGAACTCAGGACCTAACTGAAGAGCTAAAGTAATTCCATTTTAAGTTCAAGCCCCCTGAGCTGTGCTGCCCTCAAAGTAACCCCCAAAGAGAGCTGTGCTGCCAAAGAGAAAAATAGTTCTCAGAAAAACCGCAGGTTGCCACCAACCCTGCCCACCTTTAAAGAACAGAACAGTTGCCCAGGTGTTCCAGCTGAAAAAGGAAGTGTGATCAGGGTGGACATAAACCCCCTGAACTTGTGAACTTGCTTGTGTGGAAACCCCCTAAACTTGTTTGTTTGATACTATAAAAGCTGTGTCAATTTTATGCTTGGGGCCTCTTAGCATCACCAGTTACCAAGTACACATAGGACCAAGCTCCAGCTTGCAATAAATGACTCTTTGCTGTTTGCATTGATCATGGTCTCTGGTGGTCTGAGAGGGGGCGTCCGAAATCTGAGCACTTTATGTGGGAGCTTGTCCGGGATAGCCCCCCCATAAGCCACACAGATACCTGATCAGCGAGTCATCCAGCTAGCCGGTAAGAGGGGGTGCAGCTGCTTTATGTTGCGTGTTATGTGTTTGATTTGCAAGTAGGGTTTTAGAGCTGGCAAGAAACGTTGGTAGATGTGCTACAAGGTAGCCAGCAGGCGAGTTGAAGAAATTCCCTGGGCCCTTGGGGAAGCCTTCCCCAGTGGAGTCTCGCTTCACTCTGTCATCTTTTGGACCATGACTTGTCCGGCCTCTGCTACTCTGGGTTAAGGGTAGATTATCCACCTCCCGGGTAGGGACTCATTGGCCTCCACCATCCTATGGGACAGGAACTCGTCTGGCCTCCACAACCGTGGCTTAGAGGTGGATTCGAGCTCGAGATCAACATGCATGCTCTCTTTGTCTCATTTGTAGTTGCCATTTTAATTCCTTTCCTTGTTCATTTAACTTTCATTTTCGGATCAGCGGGCATCCTGGAGCCCCCCGAATGGGGTGGCCAGACACTCCTTTCACCTCAGCCGCTCTCCCGTTTTAATACTTTTGGAATTTTAGGATGACATCAAAGGTTGACTTATTCTCTAGAAGAGGAGGCAGTGGGGGAAGGGAGAACCTGCAGGATCTAGCAATAACTTTGAAAGGGGCCTGCAGGGAAAACTCTAAGCCAGATGAATCTGCCACTGACCACCAAGTGCCACCAGCAAGATCTTAGCCTCGGGCCTTGGCCCAGAGGGTCTGAGTATGGGGAGGAGACTGTCAGTCTGAGGGGATGGCTTCCAGGGTCTTTTTTCCCTTGCCCCAAGATGACTGAGAATTCTCCTCCACCTTGGAAGGCCTCTGGATCAACATTTGCAGGAATCTAAAAAAAAAAAAAGAAAAAAAGAAATCCTCTGGTGGTAAGATGTTGCCCAATTCATGGAGATCTGATTTTGTCTTTGTCCCCACTTGTCTGTCTTGTTTACTTTGGTGTCGTTTCTGTTCTATTTTTGAGGTGGGGAAATTCTGGGTGAGGGTGGCCAGCTCACTCAACAGATTCTGAATTCAGCTTGCTGATTGAGAATGGCGCAGTTCTAGTCGGAATGAACTGAGGGCCCACTAGTCCCCAACTCAGCTTTTGGCTATTGTCTAGTTCTGTTTTAGAATTGGTACCTGTTTTAAGTGTGGATTCTTGGTTTTTGTGTTTATTTATATTTTTGTTATTTATTTGAACATCTCTGAGGAAATAAAAGTTCTAGCCTCTGGCTGGGCTCAGCCACAGACCTGCTAGGCTCGCGTCACTGTGAGATATGTAAGGTTGCTGGACTAGTCTGGTTCCTTTCAGGTCTTGGGCTGAATTTTCTCCTTGTGGAGGCTGCCTGAGCAGAGAGTGTGGAAGGCTATGTACCTGGTTTGGATTTTTCAGCGAGTCCTGACAATGTAACAATTTGTAAAGTGCTCTTGTCTAAAATTGGATAAAATTCAGGACAGTTTAGTTTTAGGTGACCCCTTCAACCAGCCCTTCTCCAACAGGTGGGATTCAAAAGATCCGTTGATGAATTGCCTTGCTAAACAAGCGAGCCCTGGGAAAATGAAGCTTAACAAAGGTACTTAGTTTAAAAAAATACTGTCTTAAATTTTTGTTAAAAAAACTTTGAAAAAATCTATGTAAAACTGATTTTGATTTATGCACGCTTTAAGATCTGTGTGTTTTCTATGTGTTTGTAAACATGTTCAAGATAAAAATTGTCAACATGCTGTAAAAATTGGGTGAATTTAAGTTTAAAATGTAAAAGGTTAAGAGGTTTAGACATTACTAAAAATTTAAAAAACTTTCACACTGTTTTAAATGGCTTTTTAAGGATTCTTTAACATAAAAATTAGAAAATCTGTTATTTTAAATTTTAATATTTTTAAATGCTTTGGCAGTTTGGGATTTAGTTCCCTTGGCTAAAATTTCAGGATAAATATTAAAAATTTAAATGGAAAGGTCAATTTAGCACTGTTACAAAACATGACATGTTCTGTCTGTCTAAAACTGTATTTTATTCAAACCTCCCTACCCCCCAAAAAAGGGAAAATTTAGAAGACTACCTAAGATCTATATTTAGGGGTGAGGCTGAATAGGCAGAAGTGTAGTTAAGCTGGTCATGCGTGGTGGGACCGACCTAGGGGGGGGGTGCTTCATAGATGGTGGGACTGGCCCTGGGAGGAGTCCACACATGGTAAAAGAGGGCAAGCTGGCACAAACGCAGTTCATCTAACCTTAAAGAGTCAGATTGGGTGCAGGCACATTCCATAGGAGGGGCTGAGTTGCCCATCTTTGTTCTGTCCCTTTTCCCTGCAGATAGACCCTGAAAACATGGTTAAAATGAGTGATGTGATGATCTGATTAGTATTGCTAAAACTGCCCCTTGTATGTGTTAAAATTAAAATTAAAATGGCCTTCAAAAGAGGGTTAAAAAGTTTATTTGTATAATGTAACTTGCTTTCAATGATGTTCTACAATTAGGATGTTTTTAAAAGTTATAAAGGTGTTAAGCCTAGCTTCTTGGCAGAGTAATGGTGATTGTAATTATTTTTTTTCTAGATTATTATTTGTTTTTATTGTGAAAATACTGTACAAAGGAGTTACAATTACATGGGCAAGATAATGAGTACATTTCTTATCAAGCATTGTAACATCCTCCTTTGTTTCCCCTTCCCATCCCATCCTTCCCCTATCCCCCCATTCAAGCCTCCAATCACCCCCCACAAATTTTACAACCAAAGTTGTAAAGTTCGTTTTCGACATAACGACTTGTACATCTCATTGTTGCAATATTTCCACCTGTATCCCTATTTAAACGATTCGTTTTTTCCCTTACCCTCCACAAATTATACTAACATCAAATACAGTGAAAGCAGGGGTTATACAATGGGGGAGGGACATACAAAGCAACAAAGATATCATCTTATAAATGTGTTAGAAACAATCGCATGAAAGAAAACAGCATTTGAGTACATATTTAGGGTTCATTTCCCTAACATAAATTTATCTGAGCTTTTCTGCTTGATTCAGGCATATACTATTTATTGGAAATAAGGAAAACCATGGGACCTATATTTCTTTGGGCCTGGCTTACTTCACTTAATATAATTTTTTCCAAGTCTTTCCATGTACTAACAAATGGGGCAATGTCATTCTTTATGATGGACGCATAGAATTCCATTGTGTGTGTGTGTGTGTGTGTGTGTGTGTGTGTGTGTGTGTGTGTCGCATTTTCTTGATCCATTCATCTACTGAGGGGCATCAGGGTTGATTCCATATCTTAGCTATGGTAAATAATGCTGCAATAAACATATCGTGCTGGTACCTTTAGTGTGGTCTTGTTTGTGAACATTTGTGTAAATGCCCAAAAGTTGGATTGCTGGGTCATAGGTGAGCTCTATGTGGAGTCTTTTGAGGAACTTCCATACTCCTTTGCAAAGAGGTTGAACAAGTTTACACTCCCACCAACAGTGCAGTAGGGTTTACTTCTGTCCACATCTCCTCCAGCATCTGTTGTTATTAGAGTTCTTGATTATAGCCATTCTACCTGGGAGGAGGTGGTATCTCAATGTTGTTTTGATTTGCATTTCTTTTATGGCTAGGGAGGTTGAGCATTTCTTAAAGTATGTATTGGCCCTTTTTCATTCCTCTTCAGAGAAGTTTCTCTTTAAGTATTTAGCCCACTTATTTATTGGGCAATTGTTTCTTTGAAGATTTGTTGTTGGGGGATTTAATTTTTTGAGTTCCAGGTATGTTTTAAATATGAGACCCTTGTCCGTTGTTGTATGGCTAGTGAAGATCTTTCCCCAATCCGTGGGCTTTCTATTGATCTTGCAAGCTATGTCCTTTGCCATGCAGAAGCTCTACAATTTCATGCAATTCCATTTTGTCCAACCTTTCTTTAATTTGTTGTCTTTCTGGGTCTCTATTAAGAAAATTTCAGCCTGTGCCAAGGAGACAAAGGGTTTCTCCTATTCCATCCTGTAATGTTTTCAGTGTCTGCTTTGACTCTGATGTCTTTGATCCATTTGGACTTGATTCTCATGCAGCGTGATATATAAGCATCTAGCTTTAGTTTTCTACAAGTAGTTAACCAAGCCAGCACCATTTACTGAAGAGGCTGTCTTTCTTCCATTCTATTTTTTTAGCCCCTTTATTGAAGATTAAATGGCTATAGGTCTGTAGGTTCATTTCTGGGTTTTCAATTCTATTTCATTGCTTCTGAGGTCTGTTCTTGTGCCAGTAGCAAGCTGTTTTGATTACTATGGCTTTATAGTCTAGTTTGAAATTTGGTATTGATATTCCTCCAGCACTGTTCTTTCTGTTGAGGATAGTTTTAGCTATTCGGGTTCTTTTATTGTTCCATATGACTTTTTGGATTGCCTCTTCTATTTCTTTGAAGAATGAGATGGGAATTTCGATAGGTGTTGCATTGAATTTGTAGATAGCCTTGGGAAGTATTGCCATTTTCACGATGTTGATCTTTCCAATCCAGGAGCATGGGAGTTTTTGCCACTTCTAAGTTCTGTTTTGATTTCCTTTTTCGTTTTTAAAGTTTTCATCATTGAGGTCCTTCACTTCTTTGGTTAAGTTAATTCCTAGGTATTTTATTTTTTTGTGGGGCTATTACAAATGGAGTTGCTTTCCTAATTTCAGCAACACTTTACTCATTGTTGGCATACAGAAAAACCATTGATTTTGGGGGGTTAATTTTATACCCTGCTACTTTGCCAAAGTTTTAAATCAACTTGAGTAAATTGGGAGTGGAGTCTATGGGATTCGTTAAATACAAGATCATGTCATCTGCAAAGAGGAAGAGTTTTATTTCTTTTTTCCCTATTTGGATCACCTTTATGTTTGCATCTTGTCTTATTGCTGTAGATAAGAATTCTAATACTAGATTGAAGAGAAGTGGTGATAGTGGACATCCTTGTCTTGTTCCTGAGTTAAGAGGAAATGACTTTAGTTTTTCACCATTAAGTATAATGCTGGCTGTAGGTTTGTCATATATAGCCATTATTGTATTGAGGAATGTTCCATGGATTCCTAATTTTTCCAGAACCTTCATCATAAAGGGGTGCTGGATCTTGTCAAATGCTTTTTTTTGCATATATTTAGATAATCATGTGGTTCTTATCCTTGCTCTTGCTTATGTGATGAATTATATTAATTGATTTGCGAATATTGACCCAGCTTTGCATCCCTGAAATGAATCCTGTTTGATCGTGGTGTATGATTTTCTGGATGCATTGTTTAAGACGACTGGCCAAAATTTTGTTGAGAAGTTTTGCATCAATGTTCATCAAAGTAATGGGTCTACAGTCCTCTCTCTTTAATGAATCCCTGCCTGGTTTTTGGATGAGGGTTATCATAGCTTCATAGAATGAGTTCAGTAATGAACTTTCTCTTTTAATTTTATTTAAGAGTTGGAGAAATATTGGTGTCGGCTCTGTTTTGAGGGCCTTGTAGAATTCCACTAAAAAACCATCTGGTCCTGGGCTTTTCTTAGATGGGAAGTCTCTTATTGCTGTTTCTATGTCAATCCTTGATATGGGCCTGTTAAAATGGTTTAACTTATCTTGGTTCATTTTTGGCATGTCAGTATTTGCTAGGAAAAGTCCCATTTCTGCCAAGTTTTCAAACTTATTAGCATAAAATTTTGAGAAGTATTCCCTTATAATGTTCTGTATCTTGGTTGTTTCTGTGGTGATGTTTCCATTCTTATCACTGCATTTATTTATTTGGGTGCGTTCTCTTCTTTTTCTGATAAGGTTTGCTAAGGGTCTGTCAATTTTATTAATTTTTTTTGAAGAATCAACTCTTTGGTTTGTTGATTCTTTCTATATTTTTTGGATTCTAATTCATTTAATTCTGATTTAATTTTAATTATTTCTTTCCATCTACTGGATTGGGGTTTATCTTGCTCCTCTTTTTCCTGAAAGCTCAGATGTCTCATTAAATTGTTGGTTTCAGATCTCTCCAATTTGTTGATGTAGGAACTCAGAGCTATAAACTTGCCCCTGAGTATTGCCTTTGCTGTGACCCAGAGAAGCTGGTAATTTGCATGTTCATTGTTGTTGAATATCATGAACATTTGAATTTCCTTTCTCATCTCTTCCATGACCCACTCGTGAATCAGCAGTGTGTTGTTCAGCCTCCATGTGTTACAGGATTTTCTTTGGTGGCTTTTGGTGTTGAGTTCTAATTTTATTCCCTTGTGGTGTGAGAGAATGCAAGGTATAACTTCAATGTTTCTGAATTTGGACAAGTTTGCTTTGTGGCCTAAAGTGTGGTTTATTTTGGAAAATATTCCTTGTGCTGCTGAGAAAAACGTATATTCTGATGCTGCTGGGTGGAATATTCCATAGATGTCTGTTAAATCTAGTTCATCTATGCAGTTTTTTAGATCTCCATTTTCTCTGTTGAGTTTTTCTGAGTTTATCTATCTAGTGGGGAAAGTGGTGTGTTAACGTCCCCAACAATTCAAGTCTTTGGAGATATTGGGATTTGGGGGAAAATAGTGTTTTTTGCATAATTTTGGGTGCTCTGTTGTGTGGTGAATTGTGATTGTAATTC